GAGGCGGGGCGCTGCTGCCCCGGCCGGGACCCCGCCTGCTCCGCCCGCGGCTGGAGGCTGGACCGGGTCTACGGGACGTGCTTCTGCGACCAAGCCTGTCGCCTCACCGGGGACTGCTGCTTCGACTACTCCAGGGCGTGCCCAGGTGTGTGGTGGGGCCGAGGGTGGGGTGCCCGCCGCTGGCCCGCAGCCCAGGGGCAGAGGGTCCCGCACCGAGGGTCGCAGCCCCCAGCCCCTGCCATCCCGGCGGGCCCAGCCCCTCTCCATCCGCGTACGCCCAGCTCCATCCTGGAGTCCTCCAGCCAGCCCCTTGCATCCGAGGACACCCAGCTCCACCTGTGCAGGGGCGTCCAGCCCCTCCGTCCATGTGCGCCCCAGGCTCCTCCAGCCCCCTGCACGAGACATAGCGCCCCAAAGCACCCCTCCCAACAGCCTGGAGGGAAGGGGTGGGGAGCTCTGTCCTGGAAGGGGCAGGGTCACCCCTGCCCGATGGATTCTTCCACGCGGGAACTCCAGCCTGACAGGGCCACCTCCCTCCTGGAGAGAGGCACTGGCAGGTCCTGGGCACGCCCCTGGGCCGGGTCCCACCACTTTCATCCTCTTAAGCCTCGGGGATCTGGGGGGTGGGTGAGGGGTGATGAGGGAAGGAGTGTGTAATGACCCCATTCCGGGCCCAGGGCTTGCTCCACCAGCCAGTTCTTGGAGGAGCACAGCTGGCCTCACCTCCTGACTCTGCCTGTAGCTTACATGCCCCTTCTCACAGGAGGGGCTCCATCTGCTCTCTGAGGTCAATTTTATCTAGATCACTTGATAAAGATTTTAATCTCAGGGATCCTATTATGTTTTAATCTTGCTGCCTTTCCTTTAGGGTCAGTCTTTTTCATCTTTACATTTCCCACAATAGCACAGCCCCTGGTATGGGCTGAGTAAATGTTGATTTAAATGAAATTAAAAGGTAAAAGAAGAAAAGGTGAGTGTTGTCCTAAAGAACAGGGTGAAAGAAGCCAGCTCTGGAAATAAAAGTAGCCATGCTCCCTCTTAATCCCATCACCCCCAAAAGCCACACACGTTAGGGGTTGACGTCAAGGATACCGGTGTTGTGGGGTCCTCGGCATCTTCCTGGGAGAGTAACCTGCAGGGCTGTGCCATTCCCTGGAGAACTGGGTGCCCGGCAGAGAGCCGCACCCCTCTGCGCTCTTTCTGCAGGAAGCGGCCACGGGCCCATGCAGGATGGTCACCCAGGCTGCCGCTGAAAGGACACAGCTGGAAACATTAAGATTTTTTGACCCTGATCGAAAGCTAATGATTTACCTGCCAATATTGATCTTCTTTTTGATAAGATTCTTTACTGTCCCTGCTCCAAGGCCAGGGTGTTTTACTATTAATGTAAAGTGAAGAGTCGGTTACTTAGGAAATGCGGCGCCCCAGCCAGCTGTCCCCAGCTCCCTGCTCGGCTGCCCCATCCTACCCAAGCCTGTTTTCCTCAGTGAACCCGTCCACTGTGCTGCCTCCCTCACTCAACCCTCTCCCTGGACGGCTTTCCCTGCATTTTATTTTATTTTATTATTTTATTTTCTCTAATATGTCTTTATTGGTTTCAGAGAGAGGAATGGAGAGGGAGAGAGACATAGAAACATGAGTGATGAGAGAGTCATTGATTGGCTGCCTCTTGCACGCCCCCTACCAAGCCCGTAACCTGGGCATGTGCCCTGACGGGAAACCCAGACACTATGTCCTGGACCATAGGTTGATGCTCAACCGCTGAGCCACACCGGCCAGGCTTTGCCTGCATTTTAAAGGTAAATGCAGAATTCCTGTAGTTCAGATCATGTGGCCCGGACTGTGGTTAGCACAGGGACACAAAGATGATGAAGGCACAGTCTCTGTCCCATAGAAGTTCATACTCGAGCAGGGAAGTACACATGCAAAACTGCTTGCAACATCCTTGGTGCCAAAATAAGGGACCTGGAGGCTAGAGAAGAAAAACTTGGAGGACCAGAGGAATTCAGAGAAGACTTCCCAGAGGAAGTGATGGGCAGCCTAGTCTTGGAGAATGGGCGAGAGCTCTCTAAAGGGGGTCGGGATTCTAGGAGGATTCCAGCAGTTCCCTTTGGGTGTCCGCTTTTGTGCCAGGTGCTAGGCTAGGCCCTGAGGCCACCCTGGCCAACAGGACAGGACCTGTGAATGCAGTTAGATGTGGAGATTTGGGCACAGAAAGGGATGGGGAAAGACAAGGCCGGAGTCCTGAGAAGAACTGGCTTTCTGGTGAAGACTAACACCCCTGTGAGCAGTTGCAGAGTCCTCAAAGTCTTTATTTGGTCAAAAATAAATCCCTTGTTTTCAGTCCAGGAAGTAAAAATGTTTTTAAAAAAGCCTATCATTTTGGAGTGAGGATTTATTGAGCAAGGAATACCAGGTGGCCATACCATCTCTGGAAGAACTCAGAAATCCAGCCAGCAGAAAAAGAGTCAGGACTGAAAAGGCTCCTTGTTTGTAAATCCTTTGCACTTGCAGGTTTTGGGAAGGAAAGAAGAAAATAGAAACAATTGGAAGGTGGCCACTTGGCAAGACTGAGCCTGCTGACCCCTCAGAGCTGAGGGTGAGAGTAAGGGCACCGCGAGCTGAGATAGCTGGTCAGCTCAGCCTGCACCGGCGGCAGGACTGAGCTGACGCCGGGGTTTGGAGAAGGTGGGGTTGGCTGGCATTAGCATGTCACAGCTGCGGGAGCTGAGCCAGCTGGGGGCACTCCCATGACTAAATTACAGGAAGGGCCAGTGGAGGGAGAGCTGCACCCAGGCTGCCCGAGTTCAGGCTGCCACCAGCACTTCCGTGTGGGCCAGTGCGTGGCTATTATTTATTCCCAGATAAATCAGTGCTCAGCAGTGCAGAGCCCCCGGCTACTCCACAGACATACAACCATTCTGCCTCGTAGGATCTCTTCTCCTTACCCAGTGCTGTGTTATCAACTGATGCTGTTGGGAATCTTTCTGATGGAAATGACATTAAATATGAACAGAAATTGGAACTGTGTCAGAACTCGGCACGCCTTACTTCTACCCCTTCTGACTTTTTCGTCCTGATAAACACATTATTTTGGGGGGAGTGGTTCAAAGATGAAATACTGGAGTTTCTCTTTCTAAATAGAAAGTGATATTTTTTTACTCAGTAAAAGTAAAAAGTTATTGGATCTATAGAATTACTAAGCTGTCTCAAAAAAAAAAATCTGTTCTGAAACTAATTATCTCAGAAATTCTCATGATGATGATGGCATGGGTTTTAATACCAATGATATATCTTCCCCCCCCCCAAAAAAAAAGATAGGAAATCCTCCTTTGGCCTGATCAGGGATGGGGAGAAGGAGGCAGGTGGAGGAGGGGACAGACCCATTTTCCTGCCTGGACAAACTTCTGGGAAGGCTTGCTTATCAGGCTCAGAACACCCCAGTCTCTAATTTGTCAGCTGGGCTCCTAGCACCTTCATTCTAAGATTATAGAAGCAGTGGGTTGCATTAGATCTTGGATGAGGAACTTAAGGACCGAGGAAAAATTAACCCATGTGGAGAGGGACCAACACTGAGTAGCCTATATGGGCTAGTCTCTTCTAGATTTACAGGGAATGTAGGAAGCCAACTGGCCTAATCTGCTGACGGCGTATCTGGAGGAAGGTGGGGCACCCAGCTTGAAAATATGTGCTCCGAAAGTGACCCAAAGGAAGAATGTTACAGTCTGATGATTTAGAAAGTTGAGGCTTTACTGGAGCCAGAGTGGCCGAGGGACAGTATGTGGCTTCCCCTGCTTTTGTCTCTGCAGAAAAAACACACAAGGCCTGGCACTAGTATTCAGCTTGCAGGATTTGGCGGCAGCCCTGGGGCATGCAGTCAAGGAGGGTAAAGTTGTCAAGGCTAACCCAGCACTTACTCTGTGCCAAGCCCTCTCGCGGGCACCGCACAGCTCTAAGCTGACTTAGGTCTCCCACCCGCCCAGGCTACAGGCATACCTCTGAGACGCTGCGGGTTCCGTCCCAGACCCCCGCAATAATGCAAGTATCGCAACAAAGCGAGTCGTAATCTTTTTGCTGGTGGAGGGCCTTGCCTTCAATTTTTAGAAAATGCAACATCTACGAAGCACAATAAAGTGAAATGCAGTAAAACGAGGTATGTCCGTATTCCTCATGTTGGTCTCATTTTATGGACAAGGTATTCAGGGAAACGGGAGATCAGGGGTTAGGCAACTTGTGCAAAATCTGAACCCAGGAACTCTGGAACCAGAGCCCACACGTTTAAACATTATGCTTTTGGTCTCGGAGAAATGAGGCTTTATGAGAAACTCTGTGCTGTGCAGGGTAGGCCCCAGATGAGTACTAGTGGAGCAAGTGAGCTTTCTCTGTCCAATAATTGTGTGTTCCTCAGGGGCACAAAGTGTGTCCTGCTCCCCTTTGCCAATCCCCTGATGGCCATCGCGGTGCCTTGATGACATTTGTCAAAACACGTGAGCCGTCATTCCACCGAGGGGATGTGATCTGTGGCTTCTGAGGGCACTGCCAGCGTGTAGCCACACGCCCTTTTAAAAACAGCATTTTTCTTCCTTGAGTACAAAATATATGTTTCAGAAAATTTGGAAAATATAGAAATGTACAGAAGGAAAAAACAACTCACCCAGAAACTTAACTACCCAGAAAAAGCATCATTATCTTTTTAATGTGCATCCCCTTTTTTTCTGGGTTTACATGGTGCATAAAATTCCATTTTTATAGTGAGGCAGCCCATTTCAGTGTCTTGCTAGCATTTCATGCACTTGTCCAGTTAATGTATCAAAAAGAAAAAAACAACCACCCTACAGGAGCCAGGTAACATGGTTTCTGCAAGAGGGAAACATACTTGGTCATTTTATTGGAGCTTTTTCGAGGGGGTAAATAGTCAGTTGGGCAATCTAGTCTCATTTGACCATCAGAGAAGTTTTGACAAGGTTCCACAGGAAAGGATATACATATGGAGAGAGGAAAAGGCAGGTAACATACATTTAAAATTGTGTCACCATGGGATGCGTGCGTGTGTGTATGAAGGGGCTCTCTTTTGCTTCCATAGAATGTCAGCAAGTAAAAGCCATGTATAAATGGTACTGCTGTGGGCAGAGTGCCAAAGGAATA